CATGACCTCGTTTAAACCACACACAATGTACATCAGTATATAAACCGCACATCATGTATAACAGTACATAAACCCAGGGATACTCTACAACAGGGATAAGTCACTCGCTTGCTTTCTTTACCATTTGTACTAATTAACGTGTGCCTCGTCATGCTCCAACGCACACAGTGACTTGGTTCGGTCCCAGCGCAACTTCGGCTGCGTTTAACAGTACTTCAGCCAGTGTATTGTATCAGTCGGAATTTTACAATGAATGAATGAATTAATTAATTAAGAGCAAGAATTATATGTGAATGAATGAAAGAAATTAAGAAAAAGAACAAAAGAAAAAGAACATATGTGAATGAATGAAATAATAAATGATACACCACGGCCATCCCTCCCCAAACATGTTAAAGAACGCAAAGCTATCGGTAGAACACACGTGTTAACATCAGCTGTCCTTTTTAAAAAAAAAATTACTTTGAGACATGTTTTTACATTAGTAACTAATTCAGATATCTTATTGCATGTGTGGAATGACATGGGCTTTGACAGAATGTTAACTGACACTGTCACAGACCCCTCAAGAACAGAAAGTTTGGAACTATCACAAAGCGTTGTAAACACCTTTCCAGTTTTGTCAAATACTAAGATCAACAAGAAAGAAAGAAGTCTTAGAACTATAACACTCAAGCATCACAAGCACCAATGGCGTATCAGAACAGATCGGCGATATGTCATATTTATCACACACCTCAAATACACCCTAACAAAAACAAAATAAACTTAAAACTATCACTATTACTTGCAAAACCCTTTCACCTGATGGTATGTTCCCCTCATAAAAATTGAAGGTGTATGTGAAAGATGTTTTTGAACACTAACTAGAAACACTCAAACAACACCCTGTAGTATTTCAATGGCAGATCGGCGATATGTCACATTTTTCACACACCTCAAATACACCCTAACAAATCTTTTTTAGTTATAAAACTATCACTATTACTTGCAAACACCTTTGAACTAAAGGTATATTTCCCTTCTAAAAATTAAACGAATATGTGAAGGAAGTTTTTAGCGATATAATTTAGTCTTTCTTCGCTGTGTACTGAGAACTGAAGCCAGTGAGCTACAACATGCCGACTTGAAACTTTACTACAAATCTACTGTACTTATACTGACCCTAATAACAAGTACTTGACTTAAAATGAAGTGACAGAATAGGTAACTTATCTTCTACATGTAGGTTTTCAGTTGTCACAACACTCAGCGTATGTAATCAGCTGTTGAAAATAAACCGGGCTCAATCTTAAAAACTACGCTGCCGCTATATTGGCTACACTGGTCACGTGACGAGCCGAGGCATAGCTCAGGAGCTTTCCGAGGAGTGACCACTCCCCCTTATAGAGTCTCCCTGATAAACCATACGTCATCGGCCTGAACAGTGATTAGACCCGACATCAAACATGACCATATTAAGGGCAACATCTGTTACAACCTTAACCTCAACCCATGTACAACGTTTAACACGCTCTGTGGGCCTACATCTGTGGTCAAACCATACCACTGGTTTGTTGTTTTAAACATCACAGTTGTCGTCTTCCAGGGAATAAACCCAGCCTGGTTCCCTGGGTCTGTTGCGCCTGCGCTAACGCTCCGACAGTGCCTGGTTCCCTGGGTCTGTTGAGTCGGAGCGTTAGCGCAGGCGCAACAGACCCAGGGAACCAGGCTGGGAATAAGCCGCTCTATGTAGGCCTACAGAACTGCTTCAACCAATCCCAGTGAAATACGGCGGGACATCACACACCTAGCGTTCATTGTATTTATATATTGACGTGCATGCATGTGTGGCCTCATGTACAAACCCAGATATCCTTTCGACTTACATTGCCAGCCCACGAAGATATTGTACTGCAGTTTAACATGAATACTCCACACAGAAAAATCATTTGAACGCCGAGCCTATAGTCCGTCAACTGAACTTTTGGCACCCTGTTTTTCACAATTTACCTTTTAACCAAAAATGCCTTCAAAATGTTTTTGTGCATATGCTCTTTATATCTTATGACCTATCCAAGGTTTAAATTTCATAAGTTTATGTCAATTATTAAAGCTTCTTCTTAAGAAGTCATCTTATAAAAATATGAAAAATAGAAGTAGTTATACAAGGGAGTAAAATGATACGATGGAACAGCCAACAACATGGTGTGCCACGCGTGCATCTTGTTTACATTGTTACGCCTGCAAGCAAACCTACAGGGACTGTATAATCATCATAAATCCATTTTAAACAAGTAGATTGTCTCGTCATAAATTGTCTCGCGCTTGAAAAAATTGTAAACTCTTTTGATGATTTGCCGGTCATCTTTGTACAACATCGTTTTCCCTACAACCTGTGCGTGTTAACGATCTTTGACATCACTTAAGCGTGCTAATGTAAATACCCGTGCATGTACATATCACACATTTTACAGTGTTGTTGGCTTTTCCGTCAGGTGCGTTAACCCCTCGTAAAACTCTCCACAGTTTTACAATTATTATATGACAGGTTTAAAGGCAAAATCTTTAATAATCGTTTTAATATTACTAAAATCGATTTCTTGTTAGGTCACGGTATACAATTACCATATGAACAGAGCAGTGTTTTAAAATATTCAGGAGTTTTATGTAAATTGTGAAAAACAGGGTGCCAAAAGTCCCCTGGCCCTCAGTCTGAAAGGACAAATCCGGCATAGCAAATGTTACTGCTTTAGCCACTGATTCATACATCTCCCAAACTTGAATGAAAATTCTGAAGAGGTTTTAAGTTAGTCTCTTAACAAGACCATAGGACTCCGTTTCAGCTAATTCTAACTTGTTTCATTGAAACAGGAACAAAATAAACACAAAGGAAATCTGCGAATAGTAAAACTCACAACTTCACGACCTGTTTGTATCTGCCAAGTTTTGTTGAAATATGTTGAATGTTTTTCACTTGTGCTAAAAAATCGTCCCCCTTATGAGTACAAATTGTTTCCATGGAAACTGAGTAAAATAGTAATGCTAACAATCTTTAAATAACAAAAGGAACCATTGCAGGATATGTCTGCCAATTAGGGTTGAAAAAACTTGAACGTTTTTCGAGATTGTTCCTAGAAATCAAATGCTGATGGATAGACAGACAGACAGACAGACAGGCGGACAGACGAGGTGTCAACTAGATCCCCAGGATGATATTGTCAGATGAAAGCAGGGGGTGTAATTATGGATTGATGTTTTTGTAAATCAATACAAAATTGTGTGCTTAAGAATACATATATTTTCTTCATCTAAAGTCCAAACCACTTTCCCTCAAAATCCAGTGGTTTGTACCTAACATCCAGTAAAACTGATGCCAAGATATTATATGCAGAATGGTTTATTCCTCCAACAAGTTATGGCTTAAACAACAACAATTTCTAAAATTCAAGTTTGTACAGGTTGGTGAAATATTAGATTTAGCACATAAATAAAATGAATCCATGAAAAAAAGCATTTGTGAATCTGATGAAGATTCTCAAATTCTTTCAGACATCACTTTAGAATAATATTCAAGTAATAGGCACTACATATGCTCGTTTTCCAAGGAAAATAACAATTCAAGTAAGAAGCATTGGAATTGTCCACCTAAGAACACTCATCATCATCATCATCATCATCATCATCATCATCATCATCATCATCATCAGTAGTTCCATGCTATTGGTACCTTCAAGACATTTTGCAATTATTAAATCAGTAGGAAGACTATTATGTCCAAAGAAGAAATTATACACAAAAAGATACATTTACTTCCACACATTTTTAAAACACAATCACTTGATTACACAATGAGTGAATGAGTTTGGTGCTATGCCGTTCTTCACGTTGTGCCATTCCATCTATATTCAAGCAGGGACAAAGATTACTAGTGTACTGAAGTTAATAACAGCAGATAATGCCATGCTTATAAAGATCTGTGTGGGATACTGTTTCCTGTCACCCAAGGAGCACCATGTTTTCATAATGTTCTTGTGCATTAAGCACAGTATCCAGTCTATGTGACGTAGGTTCTGTTTAGTGCAACATGGCCATGAGTCCCTGGCACATCCATTATCATATCCCTTCTCAAACCAGTGATCATTAGTACTGTACTGATACACATTATTGTAATACAATGCATATTACCATTGTGATGTCACAATGTAACAGAGTTGCAGATAACTTTTTGGTCATTGAGTGTTCACCTCAATTGGGTATCCTAATTTTCCTTTGAGTAACCAAATAAAAAATTGTACTCACCTCACTCAAACTTAATTGAGTATTTTGCCATTTTCCATTACTTGTAAAGTTGTTTAAATGTTGGTTTACATGTTTGTTATTTATATTTGATCTGTAATATGAGAAACGACTGCAATTTGCCAGTGCATGTGCTAAAATAGAACCTTTCAAAATACCTCAGTTATTTTATCTATTTATGTCAGTACGCATGTACGATCACATTTATTGAGTATTTACAAAAGATTCAAACGTACTTATACACAATAGACTTAGTAGGAATTGAGTTTTCACATGGATATTTGCATAATTTATGCAGATACGCAGCTAATCTGTACCTCTGATGCAAGACACTAACTGATACACAAACCTTTGACAAGTACAAACAGGGCTCCAGATAGTACGTACAACATCAGGAGTACGTACTGCTAGTTTTTTCAATATAGAAGTATTGGAAAACAATAAGAATACATTTAGAGTACTGAATGTAATTTAATGGAGTATCAGTAATCTTGTGTTTCGTTTCATATAAGCACCATAACATTGCTACTCTTGTGTAAACAGGTCAAGAAACAACAATACAATACTTTTTTAGATAAATATGTCTATAAATGATTCTAAGACCGTACACCATTGCTGTGGAACGTATCTGCTACGTTTTCTAAATTAGTTCCTACCGTATCGTGCTTGTGTTATGTCCGACATATGCCTATACGGCCCTTATCTGGAGGAGCCCTGTACTATGTAGAGTATCCAACCGAAACCATATTTAGGATTTATGTCCTGCATAAATATAAGTGGTGTGAGACAATCATTGGTGCATATCATCTAAAGACACAGGCTTATAAAACTGAATTGTTTATCAATACATGACCAGATCTGTGAAGATTGCTGAGTGTGGCGTTAAACAACCAACCTACCAACACATGACCATGACACAGTGTAACATGACACATTGAATATCTAGCGAATCAATCTGCAATGTGAACATGTCCCTGAACATATTGGATGATCTCTGTACTACTGCGCTACAAACATCCACATTGATCCCTCAGGTTGGAGGAGCTGGATATAGAAATTGATCTGCACCAAAGTACTTGCGCTGTCATGTCACAATCACTTCACCACCTGTTCCAGGTAATCAATTTCTTCTTTATATACAGAAACAATTAATAATTTCTGTCACCAGTTAGAAAAGGCTTGTAAACTGTCGGACTATGCAATCACTAAGTTAGCACTGTAAATATATAGGATTACTTTTGTTATCTTCTCAACAAATGCATGACAATGTTGTGACCAATCGTTCTCCCAACCCCGGCCCCCATTTGTCATCATATCCATTTACAAGTATGGACATTTTTAATTTAACTCCATTCAAGACTGACTGACTGAGTTTGGTTTTACGCCGCTTTTAGCAATATTCCAGCAATATCACGGCGGGGGACACCAGAAATGGGCTTCACTCATTGTACCCATGTGGGAATTCGAACCCGGGTCTTCGGCTTGATGAGCCAACGCTTTAACCACTAGGCTACCCAGCCGCCCCCTCCATTCAAGAAAAATCATTGGGTCATCTCAATGAAATCACAGATCATGCTATACTTTCTCACATTATCAGAAATCAGCAGCGTTCAAAATTAATGTTGGTCCTTAGGCCTGAAGCCGACTGAAAACCACTCGGACCCACAGTTTTTGTTTTCTGCAGGTCCTTTTGGCTGACAGCATTCTCATCCCCAATTACTAAGAGTATCATTTCCATATTAAAATATAGGGCCTACACATTCTGATCAGGACCCACAACTTTTTATGGTTCTGGGTCCTTAAGACCTGCAGCTTTTCAGAGTTAAGGGCAAACACTGTAAATCAGCGTCACAAAGTATCATCAAACACTATATATGCTTGACAATGACTGCTTATGGAATCACTGTGTCCAATCTATGGTATGTCAGGTGTGATGAGGTCGTACACAAACAATCTGCCTGACCCTGTGGCCACAACCAACACCTCCCCACTAGAGGAATACCGTCTCTCTGCCTCCGCTATCACGATAACCTTGGGGTCACTTGGAATGTCCAGGGTCAATAGCCCCAAACGGGATCCGGTTGTGGAGGATATGACGTGAATCTTCTTTGTCTTCCTGTCTGCTATGTACAGATTACCTCGTCTGTCCTTGGTGGTCCCCACAGGTTCTCGGAGGACACCCTCTCTCCCTGACCCTTTGTAGCGAAGCTTCTGAGTGAAGTCATTCTTGTCGAACACTGAGATCTCCTTCAGACTCCAGTCACAGATAAAGAGGTCTTTGTTCAGGGTAAGATCCATTGTTCGGGGGTAGGTCACATTTGAAGGGAGTTCTCGGAGAATGTTTGCATTATCAGAGGAACAGTCCAGGATATCAACACGTGGCATTCCAAAAGGTTTACACACACCAGCAGCAAATCTATGTCCATCTAGGTGGGCAACTGCAGAGTAGCCGACCACAGTTTTGATGAATCTACTGATATCAATGGAGGAACTGGTCACGGAGATGGTGAGGATGTAGCTGGTGCTGGGGCAGGTGACGGCAACGCTGTCCTGACTGATATACGTCACATCCCACGGCTCCTGGGTGTCGGCAAAGGCATAGACAAGCAGACGCCTCCCCCCGATCTGAATCAGCTTCAACTTCTTGTTCCACCTGTCCAATATGAGAAGACAGTTCTGTCCAAATGGACACACACCCACATAACTAGCAGAATGGACATCATTTGGGCACAGACCATTAAAGTCATGGGTGGGATTCAGTTGGAATTCTGGACTGGGAGCTACATTCGTTGGGTTAGACACAGCTGAAGCTGTTGCTTGAGGAGAATTTTCATGCTGCGTCGAGTTTGACACGGTGGCTGAAACAAAATCCCTTTGTCTTGGATCTGATTGTGTTTGAAATACCTCTGTTCTAGGGGACACAGAAGGCTGAGGTTCCACCTTAGGATATGTTACGTTGGTTTTGACAGAAGTATTTTCAACACAAAGCTTCTTCTTTAAATCCCTTTGTTCCTTCGTGGAGAGTGCATCTACAGATGCTCCAGCTGTACATGCTTCCCTTGGGGGTAACTTTTCAGCATGAGTAGAGCCATCTTTATTTACAGACAATACAGGCAATGACTGTATGGCAACTGAAGGCGCTGTCTGCATACTTGAAGCCGCAAACAACTGAGCATCTGTTACCTCATCCACATTCTCACCAACCAGAATTCTGCCCCATTGCATGTTCTTCATAGCTGTAAGATTATCCTCTGTTTGATGTAACTTAATGTCTAACCCGTCACAAACCTTCTCAGCCTTCATTGTGCCTCTCTCATATGTTGCTAGTTGCTCCTCTACTCTGTCTGCTAGAGACAGAGTCTTCGTCGGTCTGCTCTGAATTAGTTTCTCAAAGAGCTGCTCTGTGTTTTTCAGTGATCCTGAAATAGAAGTTGCTTCACCTTTTGCCTCAGTTACTTTCTTACTTTCCTGATCCATTACACTTTTTAGTTCTTTCATAGTTTCCTTCTCTTTCTGAAGAAGTAGTTTGTTTATCTTTGTCTTCAGATCAGTGAAATGTTGTGAAATCTCAAGTGCCAGTTCCTCCTTCTTAAATTTGAGTTCATCTGGTTTTGAAGACAGCTTTTGATTAACTGTTTCAATCCTTGAAGACAGGGTCCCAACTCTCTTCTTAAAATCTTTTAAACGGTTTCCAGCAAGGTTTTGAGCTTTGTCTAGAGTCAGATGACTTTTGGCACAGTCATCATGGATTGAGCTCTGCAGACAGAGTCCACAGGCTCCACCCTTCTTCACAGTACAGTATACCAAGACGTTCTCCTTCTTATGCCTTGGACATGTCTCAGCCTCTACAACAAGAGCCTGAAGCTGATCTTCCACTGTCATAGACCCAGTAGTCCGACTCTGGGTCTCAAAAGTGTCCATCAGATTCTTGATGAAGAAGTTGTCTGGGAAGGAGTCTACCCATTCCATGATCTTACTGGGATCAGGATTTGCAGGCTTACACATGTTCCTGCACACAGGACAAGGAAAAGCAACATCACCACTGCCAGCCACCTTTTTGAGGATGTGTGTTGACAGGCACTGCTTGCAGAAATTGTGAAGACAAGGCAGCTGTTTGGGATCAGTGTACAGCTCCATGCAGATGCTGCAGCTCAGATGCTGGTCCGACAACTCCTGTAGGACATTCATGGTGAACTATAGTTGATCCAGGAGGATGATCTAGTACAGATGTGTGTTCAGAGTGTTGCTCGTTACACAGCCATTGATGCACTTCAAGAAATCAGATGTAAGGTCAAAGATGTTGCTGATTGCCTATGATGCAAGCAGTTTCTCATTAAGCTGTAGGTGCTTTGTGGTGATGTGGGCTTTCAAGGATGTTGTGGATTGTCCATGCAGCTCGAAATGTCTTTGGTGACAAATAAAAAATTTCAAGGATGCTGCTCATAACATTTAAGTAGATGATTTAGAGTTGGCGATGGAAACGTGTGCATACGACGATACTTCCCTGTAGTAAGATTTGATGGAGTATATTACACTCCTTCAATCAGCTGAAGAATTATTCCATTGGTGTTTCTCAAGTTGATACTTCTTTACTGCTAGGTAAAAAGTATGGCATGATGTACAGTTTGAAAAATGCACTTAACCTCTTGGTGGAGATGGTGTCATTAGTTGTGAATCTTCACTTCATATCATCCATGGCTTGGAGAGGATGCCTGTTGGGTAGGAGATCGCCATCTGCCATGCCCTCTACCTGGAAAAAAACAGGCTGTGAATTTATACCAATTATTGCACATTAATCTTCAATTTTGTTCGTGGGTATATATATACGTGTGTGTGTGTGTGTGTGTGTGCACATGCATGCATTTGTGTTTATATATGTGCATGTGTGTATGCATGCATGTGTGTACATGTGTGCATGCATTTGTGTTTATATGTGTGTGTGCGCATGTGTATGTTTATTAATGTGTGCATGCATGTGTGTGTAAGTGTGCATTTGTTTATATGTGTGTTGATATATATGAGGGGCAGTGGGGTAGCCTAATGGTTAAAGCGTTGGCTCGTCACGCTGAAGACCCGGGTTCGATTCCCCACATGGGCACATTGTTTGAAGCCCATTTCTGGTGTCCCCCGCCGTGATATTGCTGGAATATTGCTAAAAGCGGCGTAAAACTAAACTCAGTCAGTCAGTTATATATGTGAATGTGTGTATATGAGTGTAATATGTATGCATGCGTGTATGTATGTGTGTGTGCATGCATGCATGTGTGTGTGTTTGTACGCCTATGATGCTCCACTCATCATATGTTCCAGTTATATGAAAGCAGTTTGTTGTATTTTTAATACCCCACTTACCAGTATTTCACCTATAAGACATTGGTCTGTAAATAAATGAGTAACGAATAATCTATTTCAGACTATCCTCTTACTCTTTCATCAGATGAGAAGATACTCCGAAACTCATGTTCCTCATAACGGAGACACTGACATCCATATATTGCCTCCCCTCTATGTGTGTCACTTCTGAATGCCATTCATAGATTTATAAAGTGTAAGTTTGAATTTTATAACATGTAAAGTGTGATAAAATGACAGGAATATACCCCAAGACATCATGTTCCTCATAATACAGATGTTGACATCCATACATATCCCCTTCCCTAAATGAGTATCACTTATGTGTTTTGAAATTGTGACGAGAACACTGATACAAACTTCATGACTATCATGCACTATATACCACTGAGTTCCCCTGAGTACAGTTTGTAAAACCAAACTACAGAAGTGTGGGTGTACATGTGACAGATCTGCTTGGGTGTACATGTCAACGTGTGACAGTCCAACTTGGGTGTAGATGTCAACGTGTGACAGATCTGCTTGGGTGTACATGTCAACGTGTGACAGATCTGCTTGGGTGTACATGTCAACGTGTGACAGATCTGCTTGGGTGTAGATGTCAACGTGTGACAGACCAGCTTGGGTGTACATGTCAACGTGTGACAGATCTGCTTGGGTGTACATGTCAACGTGTGACAGACCTGCTTGGGTGTACATGTCAACGTGTGACAGATCTGCTTGGGTGTACATGTCAACGTGTGACAGACCAGCTTGGGTGTAGATGTCAACGTGTGACAGATCTGCTTGGGTGTACATGTCAACGTGTGACAGATCTGCTTGGGTGTAGATGTCAACGTGTGACAGATCTGCATGGGTGTAGATGTCAACGTGTGACAGACCAGCTTGGGTGTACATGTCAACGTGTGACAGATCTGCTTGGGTGTACATACATGTGACAGACCTGCTTGCGTGCTTGGGTGTGACAGACCTGCTTGCTTGGGTGTACATGTCAGCGTGTGACAGATCTGCTTGGGTGTACATGTCAGCAACATGTGACAGACCAGCTTGGGTGTACATGTCAACATGTGACAGACCAGCTTGGGTGTAGATGTCAACGCGTGTGACAGATCTGCTTTGGTGTGAGATCTGTTTGGTAGACAGATCTGTCAACGTGTGACAGACCAGCTTGGTGTACATGTCAACGTGTGACAGACCAGCTTGGGTGTACATGTCAACGCGTGTGACAGATCTGCTTGACAGACCAGCTTGGGTGTACATGTCAACGTGTTGGGTGTACATGATGTCAAGCGTGTGACAGACCTGCTTGGGTGTAGATGTCACATGTGACAGACAGACCAGCTTGGGTGTACATGCATTAGATGACAGACCTGCTTGGTGTACATGTCAACATGTGACAGACCAGCTTGTACATGTCAACATGTGACAGACCAGCTTGGTGTAGATGTCAGCATCTGACAGACCTGCTTGGGGTGCTTGCGTGTACATGTCAACGTACAGACCAGTCACGTGACAGACCTGCTTGGGTGTAGCTATGCTTGGGTGTAGATGTCAGCGTGTGATTGGGTGTAGATGTCAACATCTGACAGACCAGCTTGACATGTCAGATCTGACAGACCAGCTTGGGTGTAGATGTCAGCGTGTGACAGACCAGCTTGGGTGTACATGTCAACGTGTGACAGACCTGCTTGGGTGTAGATGTCAGCGTGTGTGACAGACCAGCAGTTGGGTGTACATGTCAACGTGTGACAGACCAGCTTGGGTGTAGTGTCAGCGTGTCAACGCATGTGACAGACAGATCTGCTTGGGTGTACATGTCAGCGCAGACAGATCTGCTTGTGACAGACCTGCTTTGGGTGTAGATGTCAGCGTGTGACAGACCTGCTTGGGTGTAGATGTCAACGTGTGACAGACCTGCTTGGGTGTACATGTCAACGTGTGACAGACCTGCTTGGGTGTAGATGTCAACGTGTGACAGACCTGCTTGGGTGTAGATGTCAACGTGTGACAGACCAGCTTGGGTGTACATGTGACAGACCAACTTGGGTGTAGATGTCATTGTGACAGACCAGCTTGGGTGTACATGTCAACATGTGACAGACCAGCTTGGGTGTACATGTGACAGACCAGACTTGGGTGTAGATGTCAACATCTGACAGACCAGCTTGGGTGTAGATGCCAACGTGTGACAGACCAGCTTGGGTGTAGATGTCAACATCTGACAGACCTGCTTGGGTGTACATGTCAACGTGTGACAGACCAGCTTGGGTGTAGATGTCAACATGTGACAGACCAGCTTGGGTGTACATGTCAACGTGTGACAGACCAGCTTGGGTGTAGATGTCAACATCTGACAGACCAGCTTGGGTGTAGATGCCAACGTGTGACAGATCTGCTTGTGTACACATGTGACAGACCTGCTTGGGTGTAGATGTCAACATGTGACAGACCAGCTTGGGTGTACATGCCAACGTGTGACAGATCTGCTTGGGTGTACATGTGACAGACCTGCTTGGGTGTAGATGTCAACATGTGACAGACCAGCTTGTCAACATGTGACAGACCAGCTTGGGTGTACATGTCAACGTGTGACAGATCTGCTCGGGTGTAGATGTCAACATCTGACAGACCTGGAAGATCTACGATTGCTCATATTTTCATGCACAAATTGTCTGGTCCTGACAATATTATTTATTGCCATAATGATGTATCTGGAAATACAATCCTACCCACTTATGCACACACACAAAACTAGTTATTTAATTAGCTAGTTATTTGTTATAAATAATATAATCTTAGTTGATATCAGAATGGGATTGTTCTGTGCACAGTTATCCAAAATAAACAATATTAGAGGTGTTTTAATCTCTTTCAACGATTAAATGTTTAATAGGAGCAAATAATAGCTCTGAATGGTGACTAATTCCTGCATTATAAACTAAATGTCATGTCCCCATATTTTCAGTTGGAATTAGATCTGCGGACATATAACTATGTAGTTAGGACGCCGATAACTGTCATACTAACACAGGGTTTCAACAGTAACACCCAAAAGATCGGTTTGTCGAACGGGCCCTGGGTTTTTGTTTGTTTTACTTGCGGACTGGTGACACTTCGATGTGAAGTACAATAGCATCTGTCATTATCAGGTACTTGTAAGGTTTATAAAGTTTGCAAAAGTACGCTACCGTATACTCAGCCTCTCTTCTATCAACAGAAATGGTCCTGTCACTGACAGTATTAACCAGCCTGTCGAACCCGCATCAACTCTGGATTTATGGAAACTTACATGTTCTAGAACACAGACATGTCTGATTGTCTCCCCTTACACACCCGGACAAGTTACAGACACTCGAGAAATTAGCCAAGAATTACAACCAGGGAGCCTTAGATAAGACGGCAGGTAACCCATGCCTTACTTTCTACAAGTCTCTGGCTGTGTCAGTGAACCAACCGCTGGCTCTCTCAGTTAGTAATGCTGTCACCACTCACCATTTCCTGATTTCAACCTCCGTTCAACGACCTTCACCTTCCTATAAACTTAGACCTTGACCACGTTGTGATGTTATCTATAGTGTGTTTCAGAATAGATGTCTTTACTAACACCGAGGAACATCTTGGTCAAGAAAACACATAACACTCAATAACGTTTTTTGTCACACAAAAAATGAACATGATCACATGCATACGAACTAGTCGTCTGTACAATTTGTACAGATAAAACTGTATTTTATATATGGGCAGGGAATCATGTAATTATTACGATGAATGCCAAAACTGATACAGATTGGACATCAAGTTTTAAGATGGTAACAGTTTTTCAACAAAATTTAAACATTTGAGGACATATAGTCGTAGAAATATTTCAACGCTGTCTATGATAAACCGGAAGTTGGTGGGCTGCAACTGAAGAAATGTAACAAAAATGCAATAATAATGTTAGAATTGTCGCAATTACAATGTTACATTTTACGATAAAGGAAATTATTTCAATTTGAATGATGAACATCAAAGCGTAAAACAAATATCAATGAGAAACATTGACCAATCGTATTGGTAGCAAAGAAAATACGTGATATGTATGAAACAAAGAGCAATGTGTATCAATTAGAGAACACCAGTAAGAACACACTAAATGCAACATTCACAGTTTATGAATGTCAAATAGCGCTGCAATACATGTGGGTTTTCGGACAATCTGGCTGCCTGGGTATGCTGTGTTGGTGCTTCACTGATAAATTATATAATATGATTATAATATAAACGCCTTTTCATGTAAATAAAATCATGGGGCCAAATATCAGAAACAATGACAACCCCAACCACCTAACATCATTATTACGGATCAAAAGTACTGTTTTCTAGTTATTATACTGGGCTAGACTAACATCTAGTGTCTGACATGAACATATTTTACAGTTCTAAATAACAATCATAGAATATAATTAAAAAGAGCCAAGAGACTTTCAGAAACTAAAACTGAAGTAAAGCAGACATGCCACATATTCCAACTTGCATGGATTTTCTTGGATATATTTGTTTCAGGGCCTGTATGACTGGCTAATATTGGGCGTTCGGTTAATATCTAGAATACAACAGGAGAAAATGGGCCCATATAATCAAATTTGCTAAAATAGAGATGCTAATGATATTTAATAAACGTGGTCGTGCAGTCCCATGTATTGTGTGTACAATTTCGTGACAATAGCGAGGTGACACGAAATGTGTGTGTGTGTGTGTGTGTGTGTGTCGCCCATGTAACAACGCTTGAAACTGCTTAATTAACGTGTTCCTCCTCGAAAAGTAACGATTGGCACATTATTAATATGCTATAATATCGATGAAAATGTATGCGCAGATTAAACTGCTTAAAAAACAAAATATTGTACGTAACTCAATATATATAATATTTTAAAATTAATTTCCATTAGTTTTCTTCATAACGCACTCACCAGTAACCAGTAACGCGCTCCATAAGGATTCTCGACTCAACACAAATTGCTAAACCATTACATGTTATCTTTTTAAGTGAAAATATATTCCTTGCAAGCCTGAATGGCAAGCCCCTCTTTATTGTCAATAAAGACAAACAAGTGGTTACAATTATTTTACAATGTCAATAAAGATATTGAGGATATGCATAAAACTGAAAAAGTCATTGTTTGTCAAAATAGCACAAGTTGTGTTATAAAAGAAAATGACATCCACTGTCCAACTTTTTAAAAGATGTTTCACTGATACTGTAGCTAGTAGTTATACAATTGCTAAAAACGGCGTAAAACTAAACTCAGTCAGTCAGTCAGTAGTTATACAAGTGATGTGATAGTGCATATATGAAGCGTCCTTAAAAGCTACCACATCGTACATTGCAATAACTTATGAAAAGTATTCATGCTGCTGGAGTTAAGAAGCACACATAAATTCTCTCGCCCTCTAGCAGGTGTTATTCCCCTTTTATCTGCTCCTATGAAACAATGTATGCAAAATTGTAATTTAACTGAGCTGGATTAATAGAAATATACAATGTGTTCTGTTGGTTTCCTTCTGTTTTCGGCATACGCACGATATGAATGACGTATTCGTGTCCAAGCTGTAGCGTTGTGTGTTAACAGGTCCCCAATAGGAGGTTGGTATATTGACATATACGAACACGAGAAACTAAATAACAGGTAAGGGACCCATGTTCAACCCGTTCTACAACAGCTTACTCCTGTCGTGGAAGTATTAAGCTTCTCTCATGTGTGAGTGAGCGAGTTTAGTTTTACGCCGCATGCAGCAATATTCCAGCTGTATGTCTGCAAATAACCGAGTCTGGACCAGACAATCCAGTGATCAACAACATGAGCATCGATCTACGCAATTGGGAACCGATTGTGTCAACCAAGTGAGCGAGCCTAACCACCCGATCCCGTTAGTTGCCTCTTACGAGATGCATGGGTTACTGAAGATCAATTCTAACCCGGATCTTCACGGGTTTCTCGGATTTGAACATAGATTCTATTTTGTATGTGGCATTCATTCTTAGCCGTCATAGTATGTCAGTCTCAACTACAACAAAAATGGGCTGGTGGGGTAGTCCCGCCGTTAAAGCGTTCGCTCGTTACGCCGAAGATCCGGGTTCAATTCCCAACATGGGTACAATGTGTGAAACCCATTTCTGGTGTCCCCCCGCCGTGATATTACTGGAATATTGCTAAAAGCGGCGTAAAACTAAACTCACTCACTCACTCACTCTCACACTGTCCATAAATATACTCTTGAAAAAGAAAGAAAAAGAAACTATACATATTGTTTTTATGACAAGTAAATAAACATGAAACTCTGTTTCCCGCTACAAACGTATGTATATTCTCTTCAAAGATACTCCATCTTTTGTATATATTTCAGGTACTAGTATATATAAAGCTTTTCATGGTAATGTTTTTGGGAGAGGAATACCTAAGCAGTACTCAATAATTTTACTTGTGAATAGAATATGTTAAATCAAATTTATTTGTTTATGTGTGGGGTTGTCAGGGTATGGGTCTGATTCACGTGACAAACAAATAATACAGGCCCTTAAACTGGCAATGTTTTAACAAATGTTTGTACGGCATGTGTCAGTTACCAAACCCTGTCACCACGCATCCACCCTTTACTGACTCGGAGAGCCAGACATATACTTCTCCACTTTGATTTGTCCTTAACAGACCGGGGAAGCCTTGTGGTTAAAACGTTCGTTTGTCACGTCGAAGACCCGGGTTCGAATACCATATTTGTACAATGTGTGAAGCCTATTTCTGGTGTTCCTGCCGTGATATTGCTGGAATATTGCTAAAAGCAGCATAAAAGCAACCTCACTTACTCACACTAACCTAATACACCATGGATAAAAAAAAGAGTGCGAATCATGGATTCAAACTTCAAGGCACTTTGCCATCAAGGCCCCTCTATATACAAAATGCATCCATATATGTTATCTCTTCAAGACATTCTCTGTTTCGTAACTTCTACGTCGTTTAACGCTGGCGTATTAATCTACCACCCGCGGAAGCGCTAAGTTGTAATTTAGCACTCCCGGCTCGTTTGTGTCGCCACACTTTGACCTGTGGTTGACCTGCTGTTGCTATCTCAATCAGAAGGAATCGATAGTCGGCGGAAGGTTACGATAACGAGATGGCGTTTCCGCCGAGTGTAGGCGGAAGGTAACGAAAATATAACCTAGTAGTCTGATATTATAGATAACGTACGATAACAAACTGGCGTATACTGTGTACGCGTAATTAGGCGCTGAAGTTCACACGCAACCTTAAATACAGAACTGATACGTATATTGATTGAAATGACACGGTCACGAATGTACAAATTGTCAATTAAGCAAAATATGACCAATGTTTCATTAAAGTTTAAAACGGAAGTGATTATGAATGAGTAAGTGTGTGAGTTTATTTTACGCCGCACTCAGAAATATTCCAACTAAATTTATATGGCGGCGGTCTGTAAATAATCGAATCTGGACCAGACAACCCAGTGATCAACAGCATGAGCATCGATCTACGCAATTGGGATACGATGACATGTGTCAACCAAGTCAGCGAGCCTGACCACCCGATGGGTTACTGATCTTCAGATCAATTCCAACCCGGATCTTGAAACGCTCAATACTGCACACCGCGTTGACTCGAAGCCACCGTGTTATAGACAACGCACCGAGTCATCCGTAATTCAAAACAAGACTACAGAATCCCTACCTTACCTCGGCCGGAAACATATATCGCACTTAACGCCATATCACGTTAGCGTTAAATATATTTCGCTGCACTTCCTAATTAGTTATCATTCGGTGGGGTGAAATCGGGTTAAATACCGTGTTCTATGATTATTGCACTTACATAGCCACCAACGCGTGAGAGTGTGTGCGTGCGTGCGTTAAACGGGCAGATATAGACATTATAAGGGTAAGGTGAAATTGGATTTAACGTCGTACTGAGAATATTTCGCTCATATGACCACGTGCATGCGTATGTATGTGTATGTGCGGCTGCTTGTACTATCCCAGACTTCAGCTGGTTTTATAGTGCTAGCCCACTGAGATACCATGCCGCAGTGAAGCATGAATACCCCACTCAGACACATTATACTGACTCCGAGCCGACCAGTCCTTGTTGTACCCATTAATGCCGAGCGCCAGGCAGGGACTAACAAGTACCATATTTTAACGTCTTTTGGTATGACGCGATCGGGGATCGAACCCGCGTCCTTCCGCTCATCGGGCGGACGCACTAACCACTACACCACGGAGGCGGTCCCTCA